TTCTGGCGCAATTCTCTAAAAATCTGCATTCAAATTAAAAAAATTTTTTTTTAAAAATATTTTTGTCATTTTTCTGATGTATGATGTTGTAGAAATCCAAAAAAAGGGAAAAAAGGCCCTCAGGCTGAAGTTCTATACTCCATAACTCAACTAATCTTAATCGGATTTTGAAGTGGCATACCTCTAAATGTTTCTGGCGCAATTCTCTAAAAATCTGCATTCAAATTAAAAAAATTTTTTTTTTTTAATATTTTTGTAATTTTTCTGATGTATGATGTTGTAGAAATCCAAAAAAAGGGAAAAAAGGCCCTCAGGCTGAAGTTCTATACTCCATAACTCAACTTATCTTAATCGGATTTTGAAGTGGCATACCTCTAAATGTTTCTGGCGCGATTCTCTAAAAGTCTGCATTCAAATTAAAAAAATTTTTTTTTTTTAATATTTTTGTCATTTTTCTGATGTATGATGTTGTAGAAATCCAAAAAAAGGGAAAAAAGGCCCTCAGGCTGAAGTTCTATACTCCATAACTCAACTAATCTTAATCGGATTTTGAAGTGGCATACCTCTAAATGTTTCTGGCGCAATTCTCTAAAAATCTGCATTCAAATTAAAAAAATTTTTTTTTTTAATATTTTTGTCATTTTTCTGATGTATGATGTTGTAGAAATCCAAAAAAAGGGAAAAAAGGCCCTGAGGCTGAAGTTCTATACTCCATAACTCAACTAATCTTAATCGGATTTTGAAGTGGCATACCTCTAAATGTTTCTGGCGCAATTCTCTAAAAATCTGCATTCAAATTAAAAAAATTTTTTTTTTTTAATTTTTTGTAATTTTTCTGATGTATGATGTTGTGAAATCGAAAAAAAAGGGAAAAAAGGCCCTCAGGCTGAAGTTCTAATCTCCATACCTGAACTTATCTTAATCGGATTTTGAAGTGGCATACCCCTAAGCACTTTAAAAAAATGTTTTTTCCATTTTATCATTTTTTCCCCAATTTTTACTGAAATTCAAGAAAATATTGAAATTTCTCGTTTGCACTTCCACTAGCTGAGTAATGGGTATCTGATAGTCGACTATAGCGTTTTATCTTGTTATATTTCCAATTAATTGAGCTGCTCAGATCAGCTTGACTTTAATTAAATGTCTACATCACAACATCTATTTGGTCATTAGGAAACAAAATTGTACAAATATGTATTATAATTGATAAATCCTAAAATATTTCCACTTATAATGTGTCCACTTATTTGAAAGGTATATATTTATACATATATGTACATTTGAGTAATCCGGAAAAATGCTGTTTTTAAAAATTCACTATTTCCTATTTTCAAAATGTTTGGCGACTGCAATTACGTGGGTTAAAGTGCAACCTTGTGACAATGTCAATGTCAACTTGTAGGTTAACTATTACTTCATTAGGTTTCGCTCTCCCTTAATGGCCACAACACAACAACTATTTAGATATTTAAATACCTCGTTTATATAGAGAGACCCGTATGCGCCATTCGAATAATTTATGAAACAATTTGGAAAACAATACGCGTTCGGCACGCGCTGCCTCGCTGCCGCTCGAATCACTGAGAATTGAATTCAATCCGATTTGGAATGAACCGATGAGATATAAAGTTCTCGAGAGAAGAGAAAACCCGATCGGGAGGTCTCTAAAAATAATCGCTGTGCGAGAACATGGGAATGAATGCTCAAGCAACCTGTTGAGCGAGTGTTGTTCTAGGTCTGGGAATCATTGTTGCTGTTTCATTAACTGTCCGGTTGTGTAAGGTGCATGACATCAGCTTAAGGAAAAAAAGGTACATATATATATATATATATATATATATAAATGCATAAATGCAGGTCACAGATAACAACACGGGTTGCTGTAGTTAATTACCCCAGTCAAGTCATCTAATTCGTATCTAAGGGTTAGGTTCAAGTGAATAAATAACAAATTGTATCTTTTGAGCTTATATCGCAAAATTTGGAATTTGAATTCCAATTCTGAGTTGGTTAAACATGATTTAAGATGTCACAAGTAATTGCAATTGAATTATTTCAACGGCCTTTGCCTTTATCATTTCACAAGTACAAGTATTATGTACATGCCCAAAGCAATAAGCAATGAATGTTTTCTGCGGACTCATGCTTTCCGGCAAATGTATTATCTCTACAGTACTCTGTACCATAATCAGTGTTTATTAAAGAAAGAGCTTCCTGAAAAAATACAAAAAGAGCCTTTACTTTTTGTTTAATTTATTCAAATTAAAAATCTAAAAAATCAGCACATTAGTTCCTAGACTAAAAAATATCCTTCTTATCGAGAAACTAGGCCAATTCCTTGGGCAGAGAATCAGCCTGCTCCTTTTCTTGAATTCCGCCAATTTCAATCGATGGAGGTACTGTGGGTCTGATGGAAACCTCACTGTGGGAAAGGTAATTATAGAACAGCAATTGATATAGGTTTGTTGCTTTCGCTGCGCGGTAGTGACTGGGCAAATCGGGGAAGTCTGCCTAGGCTCTTTTCAAGCAGACTGCCCAAGTGCTATAAGATTATCGCTATCGCAAAGGTTTTGGGCAGACTGCGTATCTGCAGCCTGAGTCACGATTAAATGGTAAAAATGGTACATTTATTGTCTAATCAGTAAACCAAATTGGTAAGGACTTGCATATGTACCCCTTAAAACATTTTTAGAGTTTTGTCATTTTCACATCTGCCTTGCCAGTTTAAAAAGAATTTCTCCCTCGCACTCCCCGCTTGCTAAATAAGTGGTATCTGATAGTCGAGGAACTTCACTGCAGCGTTCTCTAGTTAAAAGTGCACAATCATCTCTCATTAATATTTGCTAAATAAATTTTTTATTATTCTTTGTCGATTTTATTCTTAAATGAGCTTAGCGATAAAGTTGTCCCAAATAAACAAGTGACTAGGCCAACAAGTAATCTTTGCAGCGATATTGATAACTCAATACCAGCGTAATAGTGAGGTAGCATGAGAAATTTCGTAATAAGGAATAGGGTTAATTATGAAATACATGTTTGGTATAATTTTAAAATGTTGCCAAAACAATGAAATATAATTGTTAACTTTAGGTGATAGTGTCAGTATTTATTGCTTCTTTTTCGTCTGCGAAATCCTTGCCTTTCCCCCAAATTTGTTCCACACGATTTTCGCAACTAGTCGGGTAAGAAGCCCCAATAAGACCAAAATCGTCAGAATCAAGGCGTAAATATCCAGATTGTTAAGCTGTATGAAATTCATGTGCACCGCTGGACTCTGCAAGTTGGGTGCTCCATGGTGTCTCAGGATGTACTCGGTCCAGAAGACCACCGACTGCTTGGCGGTCAAGGGTCGATCTCTGTACAGCGAGGAGAATTGGCCGATAGCCTGTCTGTACTTTTGATTTTCAAGAACCTCTTTCACGGCATCCCTTAGACTGTCCTCCGTTATGGACAGCAGGTCCAGTGCCAGGCCATAACCAGATTTCTCCATCACTGCAGCGTTTGCGGGCTGATCTCCAAAGATTGGCAAAGCCACCATGGGCACGCCATGGTATTGGGCCTCCGTAATGCCGCCCTTTCCCGCGTGTGTGATAAAGAGTTTCGTGTTTGGATGGGCCAGTATATCATCTTGGGGCAGCCAGTTCTTATAAAGGATATTGGAGGCGTTACCGGGTGTGTTCTCCAAGTCCTCCCATTTCCAGATAACGTTCTCCTTGAGTCCAGACAGGACCTTGAAGATGGTCTGCACAATTTCTGGCCTGACAGTGGAGCTCTTGATATTGGAGCCGAGGGAGAGAAAGACAGCACCTTGCTTGGACTTGCTTAGGAACTGATCGATATCCTGAGGCAGCGGATCCGGCTTATCCTTCACTTGTATGCCACCGATTTCGATAACGGCAGGCACCAGGGGTCGAATAGGTCCTTCACTGATTAAGTGGGAGCCGACAAAGGCCATGGAGATGTTCTTCCTCAACTGCTTCAAAGATGGCATGTCTTTTTCCGGAAAGACCTCACCATAAATGCGTGTCAACTTGTAATCAAACACAACAAATATAAAGTCGAAAAACAGGGATTTCACCAGGTTCTCAGCTCGCTTTAGGATGCCCATGGGGTGCGTGGCCACAGTTCCCATGACTGGAACGTAGGACATCTCCGAGGGATTACCCGTATACATATCGATTGCCGGAACAGGTGCCGACATCCAATCAATGATTACCGGCACCTTTAGCTTGTGGGCGACCCCCAGTTGAAAGTCGTTGATGAAGTAACCCAAAATCATCAAATCGAATTTGGTCTCGTAAATGCGCTGGAACCGTGGGTCAGAGAGGAGCTCCGCCTGGGCATTGATCATGACATCCATGCTGGTGAGAAGGCGATGCATAGTGCTGACAAGTGAGTTCTTCTGCCCGGCCATTTCAGTCATTTGGCCTTCCATGATGCGTTCCTGCTCCTCCTTCATCGGCACCACAATCAGGTGGATGTCCTTGTGCATCACCTTGGGCTGCAGCATGGACACCACGGTCACATTGTGTCCAGCCTCCACCAGTGCCTTGGCCACCGACATGTGGATTATGAGATGCGACGGACTGTGGCTGCTGAAGAGCCCCAAAATGTTGGCTCCCTGGGTGGTGGCCACCACTCCGAGTAGCAACACAAGTACGCAGCGCATCCCAATCATTTTGAGCATTTTTCGTCTAACCTCTCTGGCCACTGTCAAAATAAAAACTAAAAGGAATTGAGTGTGCGTATACCTATTTATGGCTTGAAAACTGGTGCTTGTGCTTATCTGGTTTGCTGATCAACTCCCTTCGATTCCGAACAATACTCTCTTCTAAAGCTCTTAATCATCCGCATAAACTCTTCTCTTAAGTGTGTCGGTTATCTGCCATCTAATGGTTTAAGTTCCTTGATAGGACCTTTTACATTGGGTATTACAAAATTTAGCCACAAGTGCAATAAATTTTAATTTGATTTTTAACTGCTTAAAATAAAAGGTACTGTTTAATGGTAGACATTGTCAATTTATTCTCTTGGTACTCATATTTACCTGCTCTTAAATATCTAACCCCTCTCTTTGCTTATTTAATTTGGGCGCCAAAAGTATTCAAATACGGATTAAAACAAAATTATTTTTACATTTCACCAAAAGAGAGTTGTATTACATTTACATTTTTTAAGATGCGAACAATGTTTTACATAACTAATTTTACTATCACAAATAAAATAGTTACATTTTCATAACACCTACTTACTGATCTCTCACCTTATAAAATATGAAAATATCAAACGTGGTTAATGGTCTATAAAGCAGATCATAAACCCAACCATAAATATAATTGTAATTATGCGTAACAAACGACTTAAAAGCGAAAATGAGTAAAGTGCTCTTAACCAAGTTTTTTTTTGATAAGAGCATGTATTGTTTTGACAGGTAAACAAGTTGTTTATAAGAGAAAATCAACTTCTGTTTAACCACATTTTATTTAATATACCTATCTTTGTATATCTAGACTTTGGCCAATATAAGACATAATTATTTGGTATTATAAAATGTTTAAGCCATTTCCCTCCCTAGTTATCATTATAGCCCCGCCTACTTTAGCTTTTTACTACCCGGTGGAAGTGGATTCTTTGCTATTCTAAGCAATTGCTGATTTTGACCCTTGATGTGACTCCAGTGATTGATCTCACGCAGTTCCACGTCGAACTCCTTCAATGTTTTTCTCAGCTCAGGATACAGATGCTTTAGCACTCCATGGTCCAGTGTGGGAAATAGGTGATGCAGAGCGTGCTCCCCAAAGTGGGTGAGCACCAGGAGATCCGACCACTTGATGTCTCCGCGATCGATGATCGTGTCCATCTGATAAAGACCCCAATCGAAGTCCTCTCGTTGGGCATCCCCATCGTGCAGAATGCGAGGATCATGATGGGCAGCAGTGAGACCAATAAATCCGAAGATGAAGCTCCCAACCGCTATAATTATTTGCCAGCTGATAAGTGCACTCAGCAGGTCAACACCAGTGGATAAATATATAAAGGTGGGCAGACTGAATCCAATGAGATCATCCCAGTGCAGAACGTTTCTTTTAGTCAGGGAGAGGACCAAACTACAATAAAATGCCACCAATTAGTGACTTTAGTAATTTGTAACCAATTCAGTCACTCACCGTATGAGAAACTGTTCTTGAAACAGGACTACGTATACCACCGGACTGATGAGCACGGAGATCAATCGCTGTGTTTTACTGGCATAATGACGATCCGGAATCCAGCAAAGGAACGGCTCAAACATGGACATCTCCAGGTCATGTAGAGAATTAGCGTAAACATGGTGTGATAGGGCGTGAGAAATTCGCCAGTTCCGGAAGTTCATCATGGTCAGGTTAAAAGTGTACATGCGCCAACTGTCCCGTTGATGGAAATAATTGTGGGTCGAGGTGGCCACCCAGCAAAGGGCCAATCCAGCTAAGCCCTTCAAGATCCATGAGTCCAGAGCTGTGCCTGCCCAACTAAAGAGGAAGACGGACGCCAAGATACCAAGATGGAGAAACTGCAAGATTATAGAACAATAAGTATCTCTTGGGGAACAAGCAAAGGAACTTATTTCGTAGCTCCTCAAGACCAATATCTGTTGTCAAGGAACCCATTCAGAGGAACCACAACAATACCTCTGTTTTCTTAGTGGGGGAGTAATCGATCTTCCGTAACTTTTCACGCACTCGCCGCTTCAGTGTCATGTAGAAACCATTTTCTTTCAGTGTAAACTTGTAGTTCCTGGGCCTCGCAGCCTGTCGCACTTCGAATTTGCTCAGCATTTCCCGAGCTCGCTCCTCGATGTGATGTGACTCGAAGGGCTCGGTGATATCCGTGCCTTTGGTGCACTCAATCCAAGAAGAACCACCCGGATGGCGAGCTGCAAACTCGCTTAAGTCGTAGAGCTTGTTGTTTATGCGCCAAAGACCTTCGGCCTCGTCATCCACACTTTTTCCCTCCAGCCAGCTGAGCAAGAGATAATTGACAAATGAGTATTTAATTCGTGATTTGTGGGTATATCAAATGCAAACCTTTCACTGGTAATCGGAAGATGCTTGCGATAACTCGGATAATTCCTCGATATTCCCGATACTTTCCAGGCCCCACCGTCCTTAACATTGGGCGTCATTTTGTGCACTCCTTGTCAATCACTGATGTACACCGATAAATGGAGTTTATTTTAGCCCCAGAAGCACCTTGATCGCTAGTGCTTAATCGTTGCTGATAACTAGCTGTTTGATTTCCAAGTTCATCTTAGTACCCACCGACAAAACTGGTCGTTCTGGACACCCCAGATGCAGACCAACCAACCGCAAAGTTTGTTTACGTAGCGCCTACTAAACTTTTATTTGGATCGCCGCTCGGCTTTTGTCTTCGTATCACACTCGCTCGATCAATTAGTAAAGCTCCGATGCGAGAGTATCAGTATCGTCGATTGAAAGCTCTTCGCTCAGTCGCTCTCACTTCTTATCGGTCGAATGAAATAATATGTATATGGTATTCAGAGCACACTTACTCATTAGTGTAGTAGGACCAGTAGCATGGCCAGAATAGGCCATAGGTCAGAACTCGGCTTATAAAGTATAACATTTATCCTTAGCTTGATATTATTTACGTTTTACGAGAAAAATAAAGATGAACTCAAGCACCAAATGCATAGCCATGATAACAAAACCCTAGTATTCAGAGAATACTTAGTATAGTAGACCAGTAGTATAGTCTTTCCAAAGTTCAGAACTCGGCTCAACAAATATACAACTTTTTATCCTTAGCTTGATATTATTTATGTTTTACGAAAAAGGAAAGATGGAATCAAGCGCCAAATGCATAGCCATGTTGTTGGCGCTCTTAAGGATAGGACTACCCCCAGCAATCTCAAAGGCCGATGATTGCTTTCGGCTAGAAAACTGCCTCAAACTGCTGCTATATCATATCAATCTACATATGTATGACCACCGCACTGACCTATTGTCGCCCAAGTCTGGGCGGTTCGCCCATGTGGGGCTGGACTTGCCCACTGCGAGAGACTTCACGTAATAAATAAATACACTCTGCTGATAAGAGCGACGCCTTATCAATATGGAAACGTTTTTTAGAAATCTCGATTTTCGGTTTATATAATCTAAAGAGATTCGCACTACGCATAAAATAAATGGACCACTGCCGGTGCCGTTCAGTTAGTCGTTGGAATCCCAGCCGAAAGGTGCTCGGATCGGTGTTGCAAGGATCAAAAGGACTCGGCAATATGGTAATCGAGGAGTGGAAGAAGAGCGGCATTGCCACCAAGTTTCCCACATACCGAAACTCGGCCCTTATCACCACACACAGCTGGCAAAAGGGCAAGCGGCAGGACGATCGAGCCGAAGGACTTTGGCGCATCCACGATGGCATCTATGACTTCACCACGTTCATTGAGAAGCATCCAGGCGGTCCCTTCTGGATTCGTGAGACCAAGGGCACCGACATAACCGAGGCCTTTGAGGCACACCATCTGACCACGGCTCCCGAGAAGATGATCGCCAAATACAAGGTGAGGGATGCGGCTGAGCCCAGGATCTACACCCTGACCCTGGAGGAGGGAGGTTTCTACAAGACTCTAAAGGAGCGAGTCCGCGAGCAGCTGAAGACCATAGACAAGCGGCCGAAAAAGAAGAGTGATGTGAGTGTTAATCTGAGAAAATGGGCGTGCCTTAGTTTTCATTTCATATCAGTCAAGTAATGCTTATCACTTACATATTGATAGGAAGTAGAACCTCCCGACCCGTAAACAAATTTATTACTTACTAAAAACATCTAATCTTACATTTCACGTGTCGCAGCACTAATAATATGCCTCATTTGTATTCAATTTGCATTGTAAAACGATAATCAAAACATCATTTTCCAAGTTTATGGTTGTACTTATGCTAAATTAATAGACCTTCCATTTAGCTCATCCACCTGGGACTGATTGTGTCGCTCTACCTGTTTGGCATTGCCAGTGCCAGATACAACAGCCTTCTGGCCCTGGTCCTGGCGGGTGTGGCCCTCTGCTGGACGGTGATCGTGTCCCACAACTACTTCCATCGTCGGGACAACTGGCAGATGTACGCCTTCAACCTGGGCCTGATGAACTTTGCCGCCTGGCGGGTGTCCCATGCGCTGTCCCACCACATCTACCCCAATTCGTATTTCGATCTGGAGCTGTCCATGTTTGAGCCCTTGCTGTGCTGGGTGCCCAATCCGCACATCAAGAGCAAGTTGATGCGTTATGTGTCCTGGGTCACGGAGCCGGTGGCCTATGCCCTCGCCTTCTTCATACAAATGGGCACACGGTGAGTGTGTGATCGAGCCGGGCATCGTAAACAAAGTGTAATCAGTGATCTCTTGATTGATTGATATTGCAGTATTTTCTATTCGCTGCGTCACACCAACATCCTCTACTGGCACGACCTACTGCCGCTGAGCATACCCATTGCCATATACCTGGGAACCGGGGGATCTCTAGGCGTTTGGATCTGCGTGCGCCAGTGGCTCGCGATGACGTCGATCGCCAGCTTTAGCTTCTGTGTGATTGGTCTGAATGCGGCGCATCACGATCCGGAAATCTATCACGAGGGCGATGCCAACCGTGAGGATCGCGACTGGGGTCTCTTCCAGGTGGACACCATTATCGATCGCGGGGATCTCAAGTGGTCGCAGTTCCTGGTGCTCACCCACTTTGGCGACCATGTGCTTCACCATCTCTTCCCGACCCTGGATCATGGCCTCCTGCCCGCTCTCTATCCGGTGCTATACCAGACTCTGGATGAGTTCAAGGGTCATCTCCGCGAGTGCAACCACATCGAGCACATGATTGGCCAGCACAAGCAACTAGTGCGCATCGAGCCCAATCCCAGGGCTCCAGGGGCGGGGAAGTAGGACTTATTTTGTATGGGGCTTGGTAAAGGTTAATAAATATTTCTACAACAGCTGACTAGTTTACAAGAGACCTGTGGCAATTTCTTATTAATACCATTATTTAATGGTATAAAATGTAAGGACATCCCAGTCGATTGATACTATCACGGAAAATAATACACATTTGTTAAATTGATTTACATTTATTTTGTTCCTTTTTTGTATACTTTTCATTTAGTGTCAAGTGATGATCTTATCTCCCTATCATTGCTCGATAGGGTCTGAATTAAACATAAACATAAGCGCAGTGTGTAGCTCGTGTCGTCCGTATGTCTTGTCCGGTCTGCATGACAAACAATATTGGGAGTACATATAGAGCAAAATATTCGAACTGCGGGCGACATTTACCGGCGGACACCTCCGCGGGGCCTTCATTTTGACGGGGCTCACATTTCGCGATTATTCTCAGGTTGTTCGATTGAGTCGATGGTACTTTGATAGTTAGTTGGTTGAATGCATTTCGAAAGTTGTATAAAAATATATAAATACAAATACAAATACAGGTCCAGCGAGCAGTGTCCCCATGGCAAATGTCGCGCTTACACAATAGCTCATACTGATCACTTATGTATGTATGCTGATCGATGATGATCGATTGTTGTTATATGTTTTCATTTTTTGCCTAAGTGCATCTGGCGTTGTTGGTGGTTTGCCTCCCGTCGTTTTCGATATTTATTTTGTTATAGTTTTATTATTTTGTTTTTAAATTAAGAAATTAAATTAAAATCATAAACATAAGCATTATGAAATATCATTTAAAATAAATTAAAAAATGAAATGGCATTTAGAATTCGTTTTCAGGAGCAAGGTCGAATCTTGGTGGGAAGGCCAATCCGTCGAATTGTGGCCTAACGGACGTCGCACGGGGCTGCGAAAGAGACATAAATCAGTTGATTAAAATAGGTTTAAGTAGGCAAACTATGTATATTCAAACATGCCGGGGATGGGACAAGTCGCCATGTTGGATCGACTGCACGGGATAAAACGATAACGAGTACGCCTGGTACTCTCTGAACACGTTTCTTAGTGCCAGCGAGTGGCGCGGTGAAATAACGGTAACTAGGGGCTACGAAGTGAGCTAACGTAATGCTCGTCGAGAGAGAGAGAGAGAGAGATAGAGTGTCTTACGAGTGTCGAATGAGAGTGGAGCGATAACGCTTGACAAGTACGACAGCGAGACGATACTATGAGGAACGACAACGAACGAGTGAGCGAGACAACGAGATGAGCGGCGGTTGATTGACTGACTGGTGTGCGTGTGAGGGAGTGGGAGGGAAGAGTTCCGACACAACAAGAACGGGTCAAGACGTGCACGAACACGTCCACTTACAAATGTTTCAAGAAAGTTTCTACTGCTCCAGCAGCGCGCTCTTGCGGCCCTTTGACGCTGTCGGCTGCAGTACACATGTACAAATACAGTTTATAATAATATAGTGGAAGAATAGTATTGTTTTTCTCTTTTTTGTAAATAGTGGTAAAGAAAGCATTTCGATTGATTTAGCCTGGTGCTGCGTTGGTTGCTTGCTTATTTATTTGCAATTTTTCTTTTTTTGGCTTTTTGTTTGGTTTTCTGTCAAAATGAACGCATTCTTGGTTGGTATTCGATGAATTGATCCATTGTTTTCTGATTGGGGTGGCCTCTAATTTATACATTTTTGTCTGCTAGCGAATGTCGTGTGATGCATCTATATTATTGTTATTAGTATTTATTTTATAATAATTCTTATAAGCTATAATTCTCTTTGCATGGTTTTGTTCTCTCATTATCGTAAATGAACCATAATTGGATCGCTATATAGATTTTTTATTCGATGGTGATGCCTCAGGCTTAGATCTGTTTTCGTAAGAAGAAGCAGAGCATACGCGCGCAATATGAAAGGGAAGAATATACACATTATTCAATAGCTGATCCAGAAATAACGTGAGTGAGATGGTGCTGATGCAGCAATATGAAGGCTCGGTTCAGGTAGTGTTCGATTGAGAGAAGTTCAAATGGGTTTTCATATTTACTTTTCTTCTCTGAGTGGGCTAAGGTCGTTGTGGGGTCTTAAGTGCTAAAGGGTTGTGTGATGATGAAGGCATTTGTCGAATGCCAAAGTTCAAACACTTACCGCTGGGCTGGCACCACGACCGACAGAACCGGCACGTCCCTTGGCGCGGAATTTGCTGATGGCCTGCTCGGCCAGATCGGCACGCTCCTCGGCCTCCTCAAGCTCCTGCTGAGCCTTGCGGAATTTGGCCAAGTTGAGGGCAGCGATTTCCTCGGCCTCCTCGATCTGCCTCTTGTATGTCTTGATCTTCTGTTGCAGCTTGTCGACCAGATCCTGCATGCGCTCGTGGTTCTTGCGGTCCTCCTCGGACTGGAAGCTCAGCTCCTTGACGCGACGCTCGGACTTGCGCAAGTTCTTCTGGGCATCGGCGTGCCTCCTCTGCTCACCATCCAGCTCGTTCTCGAGCTCGCGGACGCGCTGCTCCAGCTTCTGGATGGCCTTCTTGCCTCCCTTGAGGGCGTTGGCCTCGGCCTCGTCCAGACGGACCTGCAGCTCCTTGATCTGCTGCTCGAGGGCCTTCCTCAATTTCTCCTGGGTCTGGGCATGATCCTGCTCAGCACGGAGCTCATCGGCCAGGCGGGCGGCATCGACCATAGCCTTCTTGGCCTTCTCCTCGGAGTTCTTGGCCTCGTTCAGGAGTTCGTCCAGGTCGGAGTGCAGGGTCTGCAGCTCGGACTCCAGCTTCCTCTTGGCAGCGGAGATGGAGGCGTTCTGGGCGGACACTTCGTTCAGCTGCTCGTGGGCATCGGCCAGCTCCTGCTCGGCCTGGCGACGGCCGCGATCGGCCTGCTCCAGCAGAGTGCGAGACTCCTCCAGTTCGTTCTGGAGGGCGTTGGCACGACGCTCGGAGATACCCAGCTGTTCGCGGGCATCGTCGCGGGCGCGCTGCTCCTCCTCGAGGGCAGTCTGGATGTCCTTCAGCTGCTGCTGGTAACGCTTGATGTTCTTCTGGGCCTCGGCGTTAGCCTGAAGTGAAGGATAAGAATGCAGGTTAGTCGTCTTGCTTTGACGAGGCACTAGTTGTTGAACCTACCTTGTTGGCGTGATCCAGAGCAATCTCAAGCTCGTTGATGTCAGCCTCCAGCTTCTTCTTCATGCGCAGGGCCTCAGCCTTGCCCTTGGCCTCGGCTTCGAGGGAAGCCTGCATGGAGTCGAGGGCGCGCTGGTGGTTCTTGCGGGTGTTCTCGAACTCCTCCTCCTTCTCCTGGATGCGGCGGTCGATCTCCTGGCGCACCTGGGACAGCTCAAGCTGAGCGCGGAGCACCTTGTTCTCCTCCTGCTCAAGAGCGGCCTCAGCCTCCTCGAGGGCGGCCTGGAGCTCGTCCTTCTCGGCCTCCAGGCGCTTGCGGGCCTTCTCGATCTCATGGATGTTGCGGCCACCCTCACCGATCTGGTCGAGCAGATCCTTGACCTCATCAGCCAGGTTCTTGTTCTCACGACGCACAGCCTCCAACTGCTCCTGGCCCTCCTCGTAGGCGCCCTTAAGACGGAACAGCTCGGTGGAGTAGTTGCGGCACTCCTTCTGGGAGGCATCCAGCTCAGCAGCCAGATCGTCGACCTTGAGCTTCCACTCGCCGATGATCTTGTCGAAGGCCTTCTGCTTCTTCTCGGCAGCGTTGGCAATGGCGTTGGCACGGTCGACCTCCAGCTGCAGATCCTCCACCTCGGTGGACAGACGCTGCTTGGTCTTCTCCAGGCCAATGCACTTCTGGTTGAGGGACTCGATGGTCTCCTCGGCCTCGGCCAAACGGGCCTGCAGCTTCCTCTTGGCCTCCTCCAGCTCCTCAGAGCGGGCAACGCCATCGGACTCGTACTTGCTGCGCCACACCTGGGCCTCACCGTTGGCCTTGCTGAGCTGGCGCTGCAGATCGGCCTTGCCCTCAGCCTCCTCCTCAACCTGCTCGCGCAGATTGTCCAGGTCGTGCTCCAAGTTGCGGAACTTGCCCAAAAGGGTGGCACGCTCGCGCGACTCCTCGTCGGCCAGACGCTTGGTGTCCTCCAACTGGGTGGTCAGAGAGATCTTGATCTTGGACAGCTGAGACACCTGGGACTCGGCCTCCTCCAGCTGGCGGAGCAGATCGGAGTTCTCAATGGACAGCTTCTTCTTGCTGGCATCGAAGTCGTTCAGAGTCCTGTTGGTCTCATCCAGTTTCGACTGCACCTCGTTGAGGGTGTGCTGCAGCTGCTTGGCGATCTTCTCCTGGGCAGCCTATTGGTGGTTAAAGCAATGGTTATTCATTAGATTCGGAATGGGCTTGGGAACTATCGTAATTGGTTGTACGTGTGGCATTTTGGTTTCGTGTCAAGTGCTGTACAAGGCATTTGGGGTTTAGTAGATCAAGCCTGGATATTACTTTAGTGGTGGGTCGTTTTAGTTTTTACATAGTCAAATTTTCTTTTTTTTGAGGGATTTCGGTGTGGTTGCGTTGCAACTACGTTGATACTATACACAGATGTAGACGTGGCTAAACTAGAACTTTCAGCATTTAAATTTACAGCATCGCGGTGAGAGAGCAATAATATATGTAGAGATCAAATTCAATACCTTCTCGTTGGTAATGTGGTCGACACCGGCGCGCAGATCGTTCAACTGGCCGTAGTACTCGTTCTTCTCCTTCTCAGCCCTGGTTTAGACAGATAGATAGAGACACAGAGCAGAGGTTCGTATTTCACGGGTTAGTTCATGTTTTGTGGGGGATAAAGACAGAGACATAGACAGAGACAGATACAGAGGCGAGAAGCGAGCGATTGCTTTCCTTGCGTTGAACCTTTTCAAATAACCTTCCTTTTTATTAGACATAGAGAGAGATAGAGAGTTGGTGACAGACAGAGAGAGGGACACACAGACGTAGTTCGTTTGTACGTAGTTGTGTGGTAGCATTTTTATTTGTTGGTTGGAACATGCTGTGTTCAGTGTGATTCTGTATATGTGTGGATCGCTGGACGTCCGTTGTCGGGCGCCAGTTATCACGACATAT